TTTTCTAACGGTCTAACAATTGATATTTAAATGGCAAAAAAATGTGACCAGTAGGGTTACTGGCAGCAGTTAAATGCCTGTTATTTGACCGTTTTTTGACATTTAAAAAAATGCGAAATAAATGCATGTAAACGTTCCCAGTTATAATGGCAAAAAACGGCCTAAAAATGTCATAAAAATGTCATAAAAATGCCATTTAAATGCTTATTAACAGCGTATTAAATGGCATTTAATTGGCAATTAATTACACCGTTTTCGACGTCCTGGGTACTTTTTTAACTTAAGTGACGAGTAAATGTACGACATATTATTGTAACAGAATAAATAGGTGTACCCTTTCTGAATATAGCCAAAGTATTGAAAACGTACTTTCACATCTCTGATAAGAATCTTTCAGTTTCCAAAATCGATCTAACTTGTCGATATTTCTGGCAACTTTTTGATACATACTGAGTATGGTCCTGAGAAATGTGTACATGGTTAGAATCAGCAATTAAAACGTGATCAAAACAAACATCAGTTGTTTCTGAAATCATAAAAAATATTTATCAAAAGTTTTCTCCTTTAGTTTTTTTACAGAAAAAATGAAAATTTTTTCTTCTGAATGAAGTCTTGAAATTTATCAACCGAGTATAACAGTGGCAAATATGACGGTTAAAAACATAAGAATGGATCACACAGTTACAGAAAAGAATTATAAACTACTTAGAGTAGATTTTTCAATACGCGATTTAGATTCGATCTGACAGTGTGAAAACATCCCGATCCGGATATAGGAGGTGACTTTTACTGGCTGAGAGCTTCATCTGGGTGATTTTATACTGTGTGAGCTGATAAGAGCAACTATAAAGTATACACAACTAAATCAACACATAATATAACAGTCAAGGAAAAATTGACCATGTCTTGATCACATTTTACTCGAAGAATGTGTCCTGTTCGTGAGCGCGCTCACGCGCTCAACAACAGCAGGTTGTTGCGCATGTATCACATAATGAGATAGAAAATCAGACTGATGATGTTCTGTAATGACTGTGTTTTTTTAGTCTAAAGCGTTTAAAGAACAAAATTAATTATTGTGAATAAACTCTCTTAAGAAAACATAAACGTGAACAATATATGATTAATTTATTTCCTACGGAAAATCTGAATGATTTAATCAATAATTACTCGAGGAAAAACCGTTTTATAACGGAAGCATCATTGCATTGTGTGAAATCTTTCACAAAAATTTATTTTATTTTATGATAAAGTATTAAAACTTACAGCTAAAAAGAAAATAAATATTTTTGCAGATGAATCTGTTGTTAATGGTATTATTGGTATTTAGGTAAAATTTCACTTTCACAAAAATATTATTGCCATAATTGATCGAACTGCATGCTGATTTAGTCTCTCTTTATGACACTAATAATGTACTAAAATTTTCTATATCATCAAATCTTCTTTAACAGGCTCCTTGGGGAATTCATGGAAACAAGCAACACTGTTTGATCTAAACGTTATAGATAGTTTGAATGAATGTATGAATACAGAGCATAGGAATAACTACCATCAAATTTAATTTAACAGGTATCATATTGAAATAATAATTATTTATTTATTCGTTTATCATTGATCTTGCACAAAATCTTGCGTATATCAATAGACTTATCACTAATATAAATCCAAATAAAATAACAAAATAGAGAATAGCAAACGATACAAGTGTAAACATATACAATGTTCTATCACACCATGACAACGGTTTTTGTAAACTCATCTCCCCATCGGGTATGTAGATAGTCCACGTCCAATAATTACCAATGATAAACCAACTACATAAAAACATAAGTGCAATTAGTTCCATGAACCAAATTCCATTGTCTTTTAATTTTCCTGTTGAATCATCGGTATAACCGTGACCACCTACACTATGATCATCATCATCGTCTAGACCACTTTCTTGTCGACGGCGCCGAATTGCTCGTATCATTAGCCAAAGTGTAAACAGCAAACCGACACCACCACCAATTATATGATAAATAATTAACAATGGTTGACGAGGGCACTCATCAACGTATTTACAACCTGAAAACGAAAGTTTAGTCCTACAAATGTTAAATGGAGAAATGATGACTTACCAAATATAAACATTAAAAATGATAATAGCACCAACAGCGCTTCAATACATATACTTGGTACTATAGACAAATGATAAAATAGAATAAAAAGCTTATGATATGCAGCATCGTTTACCGATAGTGCTGGAAAAAATTATATGAACACCCAACTTTTTTCGATTTTTTTCCTCAACCGGAGAGTTAAAAACAAATTTCTAATGTGATTTCTGTAGGACTCTCCCTAGTAAAAACAGAAGAGTCTTTAAAACTGCTGAAAAAAAGTCTCTAAAAAAATCCAAATCATAGAAAACTAGATCGTAAAATTTGGATTGAAAATTTTTACTGACATTTGTCATGCAGCGAAAACGTTTTCGAGCAAAATAATTGTTTTTCAGTTCTCTATAATATCTTCTCATCATTCTCTAAACAGACAGAGCTACTGACATTGTCTAAGAGTCAGCAAAAACAGTGCTCAGGAGACCTTTAGAAAGCTGTTTTTAGTTCACCGGTTGACGAACATAAAAAGTATAACTTTTTCTCACACTGTGAATGTTACGGTTACTTACAACTAATACTGATAATATGAAATGCTCGAGTTAAATAATCGATACAATTTTCACTCTCTTCACTAGCCACAACGAGTTGACCGGGCAGTGTATCATATTGAGAATCTCGACGATCCCACTGACCTTTATTTTCGTCTTCTTCATTGTGACAACACTAAAATTATGTTGATAATAGAATAGTAGTTATACAAATAATGATGAGCTTTCATTATACAATCTAATCCAAAGGAGAATTTAGATCAATTCCTTAAGGTAAGGTATAATTTTTTTTTTTTTCTCTATCTATGTGAAATTTGAATCTTCAAACTTACAGTACAACAACAGCATGAGCATGGCATGTGTCAATTGTTCTAAATTTTGCATTTTTTATTTTTTGTGTATATTATTTATTATTATTAATATATTGCTGTACTTGTTTTTATAATAACTCGAAAAACGAAGAAAAAAGAGAGATTTTCCTCTTCTTTTCATTAACGAATCGCACATCTATTTTGGAATAGAGGAAAAAAAATCACCACACATAATACATACACAAATATATTTTCCGAAAAAACTTCTTTTTTTTTCACAATAGCTCCTTCGGGAGAAGAATATCGAGTTCTATTCCCAATTGATGAAAACGACGTTTTTTCTTCTTCTTCCCTCAGAAAGTGCAATTTGATTGAAGTGTATTGTTATGAAAGATAATATGTAGACTATCGAAGTGTATGTGGTGAAGCAATATAACAACAATAAATAGTGAACGATTGATCAAATTTATATCATTTCGGAAAGAAAGACAAGGGAGTTTTTCTATTTTTCCTGATCACTTATTGTGTACACTTCTAATCTAATTATATGAATTAAATAAAGGAAGAGAAGAAGATGACGGAAGAGAAAAAAAGAAACAAATCATGCCCATATTTGAGCTGTTAATGATCTCATTTGAAGTATAATTAAAGAAAGAGGAAAAGGAAAAGGAAAACCCTTATTCTTTTAGATTCAATAAAAAATATTTTCTATACTGACGAGTGTATGTCTTGGATATTTTAATAGTTCATTATATCATTGAACTCCTCACGTACTCAACACATATAGAAATAATTGATGAAACATAACAAGAGATAAAAAATATTCTAAAATATTTGACATTGCATTACAAAACTAATTTATTGAAAATAAATTTGACATCTTGAACAAACTGTAACGAAAACTGTCAGATCGACGAGTTTTCTTGAACAAAATTAAATTGTGTCTGTGCGAGCAAACAATGGCGCTCATAAAATACAAAGAAAATTCATATACTAGTAAATGTTATTAACGAACGAGTATATTCCAAATCACTCTTCTTTATCAAGATGCGGGTACTAGTTATGACCAAGTCTTTCATAATCTATTGGGAGAGAACAATCTATGCAAATTTCAGTCGATTCAATGTAATTCGATAAGACTGATTCACAATCACCAAGCTTTTCAGAATTTTGATAGTAATTGATGATCTCTTATATCATCGCAACCTAATTGAAGTTTTCCAAAATCGTGTTTACACGAATCCGATTTGGACTCTTCAAAGTCGTTTATAGTGCAAACAACAAATTTAAGTTAATGAATGACTTAAAAAATTCTTGAAAAATGTTTTCAGAAATACCTGGACTCGATAATAATATGATCAAAACAGTTGTAAAGGTAGTTTTTGAGGGAAATTTTCTAAAAAACCTTCGGGAAAAGTGTTTAAGTCATAATAATGTGTTTTGACTGACGAGGGAACCTTTCGAACTGTTATCTCACTTTTTCAGCCAAATCCAGTGGGTTATAGGTATTCGACCACGTTGATTCTGAATAAGAATATGAGAGCTGCTCTTAGGTCTTCGAAGACCCGTTTTCTGAAAAACCAGTTTTTCAGATACTCTAAAAATAACCAAAATCTTTCTTAATGAGGCATGATTGTAGCCCGCAAATTTCTGATTAAAATGAGACATCTCTCAGCTCTACACGACCTTTTTTTACAAAGTTATAGAATTTACAAGAAAAGCCCTAAATGTTCATTGTCAGCTCAAGACTACAGAAATATGAAGAAATTAATTTAGGGCTTTTGTTGTCAATTATATAACTTTGTAAAGAAAGGTCGTGAAGAGCTGGGAGATGTCTCATTTTAATCAGAAATTTGCGGGCTACAATCATGCCTCATTAAGAAAGATTTTGGTTATTTTTTAGAGTTTCTGAAAAACTGGTTTTTCAGAAAACGGATCTTCGAAGGCACAAGAACAGCTCTCATATTCTTATTCAGAATCAGTGTGGTCGAATATCTATAACCCACTAGGTTTGGCTGAGAACAAGCATTGCTACCAATTAGCAACATCCGATACCACTCATGCATGGTTTAAAAATAAGATCTCGCTTGGATCCTACTTTGAAGAATACATTTTGAGCCATTTGATTATGAAAAAAACGATGATTTTTTTCACTTCTTAAGATGAACTTAAAAGTTTTGGAGAAGTGCACTGATTTTCCAAAGATCCTTGTAAAACCCTTCTATCGAAAAGAATTTTGAAATTGAAATTGAAATCTCACACTTTCCTCTCTTTTCGATAAATATCTGACTACACTCATTTTTGTATGCGGTAGTAGTAACTCTCCCTTATATTTGATAACAAATTAACATTAATGTGCTTAAACTTCTTTGTGAATTTGAAGCATTTTCTTTTTCTAAATGAATGATTTAATGCTGATATGTTGTTTGACGGTGTTTTCCATGCTTTTTGCGTGCTCATAGTATTCATTTCGATTGAGTTGAAAAAATGATATTGAGTTTTCGTCCCTCAATTTGGATACATCTTATTATATGTTGCTGTCGTTATTTTTTTTTGTTGTAGATGATTAGGATCCTATTATCCTGTTATTTCCTGATGCTCGTCTTCCAATAGAAAGGTAATGGACTTGAAGGTGATAATAGAATATAAGACATCATTGACACTGATACATGAAGAAGTAAAATACTATTGTTTGAAATTTATATGTAGACACTTGGCACGTATTGTTGTCCAGGACGTCGAAAATATGATTAATTATCTATTAAATATCCATTAATCATCCATTCATTTGTGTTAAATATTAGCATTTTTATATTCCTAAAAGTGTTGGTTCTTTTTACAACCAAAAAATAGACATATTTGATGGTCGTTTCGAGGCTATTTATGCATCAGCAGGAGGCCGTTAACGACCTATTTGTGGGCCGTTTTCTGATGTCAGTTTCTTTCTGACTTATAATCTCACAAAAAATGAATCCAAAAATTTTTGGTTTCTTAGAACCATGGTATCATCACTATTACCAATGAGGCTACCTCCTCAAGACAAGCTTCGATGATTTGTATAATTAAAGAGAAAAAGTATAAGTTTTTTAAAAGGAATAGTGTCATATATATTTTAGTTACAATAGCGAAACAACAGGACGAATGATTTGTTTAAAAATGATGAAAAATTGATATTCAACTGTGTGAAATATTGAATACTAATTTCTTCATAATTTATTAACTGTTTTAAATAAATTATATCCTAACGATCTAATTCAGTGTTTCTAACGCATATAAGTAAAAAAATGTAGATTACATGATAAATACAATACACTCGATTTCCTCCATAAGAAGATCTGAAAAATACTCTGAAATGTGGACAAGTACGCTTGATTCAAAATTCTCATTAAAAACTTTAATCTAGCTGCTAATACTTATTTTATAACTATATTCCGACTATATTATTCTTACCAACTTCAATAACGTCTTTGCTTATACAATTTTGTTTTATTTTAATGTAGTTTTACTTCAATTTAATAATACGAACAAAAATATTATCATAATCTAATCTATTGTTGGTAACGTAATGTGTTATATTTGTACACTTTAGCGCCGAATTGCTTATGATCAAGAATTATAGAACTAACTCTAAATAAAATAAAATAGCAAAGTATCAAGACGATGATCTTCAAAGTGCACTACTGGGTAGAGCTCGTTTCGTCGAGATATGTGTGTGTCAGATTTGACAAGGTCAGAAAATAAATATCTGAATTAGATGTACGGTATGGTTCCATCAAAATAACGAAAAGTGGCGCTGCATCAAATTCTCATTGGTTCATATCGGATAACCTATGAATATGGATGTTGTGTGTTTGTTTATATGAACTCTTATTTTCTGCAAATCAGAATGCTGTTTTTAATATATAATAGATTTTTTTTTCTCTTGAATAGAGTTATAATGGTGTAACGGTGCCATATTAGAATCAACGAATTGATTGTATATTTATTTGAGTAACTATTCATTCAAAAATGTTATTTGCCACATATCAATAACAGAAGAACTCGTTCTCTCAATCTATCCTCATTATCTTTTTGAAAGCACGGTAGTAGCCAACAAAGGTCGACACAGATCAGGTTTAGATTAATTAAAATATAGTAACTTCGTAGATCTTGCCTGGGAGGAAATATATTTTGCATTTTATTCGAATTATCAGTTTGAGATAATTTTTGTTCTTCATTGACGGCTATATGAAGGCATTTTCACATGTTATTTGCCTTCTGTAAGATGAAAATCATACCGTTATGCGTATTCTAAGCACTAGTTATCCGGTAATAGTACTTTTTAATACAAATAAAAAAATTATATTTCAGTAAAAGTTATCCTAAAAAGCAAACTTTTCACTATGAACGGGCGCGACTAGTAAGAGGATGGATGACTACTTCCTAAGATCGAACCTTAAGTATGGTGCTTTTCACATTTGTCTCAACGTCTGTTGAGTGAAAGTTACTAAATACAGTTAATGTTAAAGGATGAATCATTTCTGATAGAATTAAAATATCCTTAATGGAGAGGAGCAGAATATCTGCAGTGATCAGCGATATTGTGCTCCGTTCTCATCACATGAAAGTTATCATTCTTTGTTCGATGAGAACAAGAAATAATAACATCCTCACACGTTGTAGACTGAGTTGTATTGCTTGTCGTACCTTAATTCTGTCTTTCTCGAAGGAAACCATCTGACATTACCCTTGAGAAAGGTCAAAATCGGTCGTAGTACCTTTTGATTCTTTCAAAAATGAGTTCTGTTTGAATCTCTAATAGCTGAAAAAGCGGTTCCCAATTGCTCCTGTTATTATTACATTGTGGATTATCCTAAGATCTTTCCTACCCATCTATATCTCAAGATATATATTTTTTGAAAATTGGTAAAGTATTCGTCAGTCTACACAATCAAAAATTCTGAAGAAATATCAAATTTGTATGATACCTTATTGTTTTACAGATAAAAACAATGTCCTTGCTTAGCAGTCGTCTAGCATTGCATCGTCATATAATTCGTCGAAATTTTGGTTTAACATCGATTATTTATCAGAAAACTGATCCTGTTCAACAATTATTCGTTGATAAAATAAGAGAATATTATGCGAAACAAAAGTGTGTTTTTCCTTATTAAAAATGAAAAACTTCAAATGAATGAGTATATCGTTGTTTATTTTCGTTTTAGGAAAACATCTGATGGTCTTGTTGATGCGACATCAGAAACTCGTAAAAGTTTGGAAGATACATTATCTAAATTAAAAAATGCCTATGGAGCAGAAACGGAGGATCTTTTAACATTACCAAAGTATTCGTTTAAAGGTATATATAGCCGATTCATTAAAGAGATCTTTGAGACACATATGTTAAAGATACTTTTGTGAACGATCATAGTTCACAAAGATATTTTCTTCTATGTTTTTCAAAATTCTCAAACAACTATTCAACTTTTCTTTTATCTTATTTATTTTTAGATCCTCAATTAGATGCTGTTGTTGATAAAACGAAAAAGTCGATGACACAACGCCCAATAGTATTAAAAACTGGTGATTTAGAAAAGTATAGTGGTTCATATGATACATGGTCAATTAAATCAAAACAAAGTAAATTAGAACAAGAACGAAAATTGCATGATGAACGACCTAAAGCATCATTACCGGGTTAGCACGGTAAAACAGTGACAACAATAATTCAAACCTTTTTTTATTTTATTTTTTTTCTCTTGCCGGTTTTTTTTTCTTCTATTTGTATTGTAATAGCGCAGACATAGCCTCTAATTTTCTTATAAACTCAATTAAATTCGTGAATTCGGTTTTAATTAGCGAATGCACATTTGTCGAATATTATTAATTTTGATATAGAACTACTGAAATTGAACAGCATATGGAAATGTTGATTTTCAGCATAAACTAGACGAATAAAGTTCAATTGTATCTATTGAGATCTTTTCTTTCTTTTAATATGTTAAAGTCGAATTCTACTACTTTGTTTAATCAGTCAAATGTAACTAAAAAAACGACAGAAATTATGTCATATTTCTCTGCGAGTAGGAAAATTATAAAAGTTAGTTTTAAATTTTAGATTAAAGAAGGAAAATATCCATAAATATGAGTATAAATAGCAAAAAGAAAACGAAACGATATAAAAAAGTTTGTATACATCCACGATATAATCCCCCACATATGGATGTAGTTAAATCGATTTTTTTGAGCCAATAATTTAGAAACCATTTTAGTAAAAATTGCATCCATATTTGATTTAATTAAAATTACTCAACATTTTGTTTAACTTCACGTTTTTTTCTATCACGATCAAAATAATTTTTATTATGATTTAATAAACCATTTGAAAACTTAATTAAAGGTACCGTTCTAGCCATATCGGTCAGATTGGATTTAAATGTCGATATAGATAGGGATTCTTGGCTTTATTAGTAAAAACGAAAAGAGTGAAAAAAGAAATTTCTTCTTCTGTTCAGTTATAGAAGATGTATTGATCGGTTAAATCGTTTTCAACTATATTTATTTTTCAAATTGAATTTTTGATGCTAAAAATCACTTTTTAATCTGTATATGATTTCTTTGGACTTTTATGTGGATAATATAGAGAACAAGTATCCTTTCTTTGATTGGAGCTTTGTAAGTGTTACCCGTTATGAAGATAGTATTCTTAGATCTAATATAACATAAATAGTTTTTAATAATAAATAGAATAATAAACATTGATCAAGAAAAAAACTTCTTATGGTAAGTAAATCTCTACTTTAGCTTGTATTCATTGAGGCCGAAGAACGGCAATAAAACTGATAATCAAAGAAAAATGTGTCACTTGTCACACTAACAAATTCTAATCGACAATCAACCACGGATTATTGTGTATATCTTCAATAATGAATGGGCACTATGTAAAACTTATACATAAAAATAAAAATTATGTCTCTTTCTTAACGGTGTAAAAATTCATCTCTTGAGTTTTATCTAATAGTCCTGTTTCAAATTCATTTGTTTATTAAATACGTTTTGTTTTATGTGAATTTTTAAAATAATTAGGAATTGGCTAGATATTAATGCGCTTTTGAAAAATTTCATCCATATTTAACCCTTTGGTTATGGGTATTTTTGGACAGATGCAAAAATTTTGATTTTTTTCATAAAAGTCTGAAATAGGGTGTATACGTCAAGGGAAAACAGCGAATTCCAAGAGGCTTCATAAAACTCCGTAAGATTCTGAAGTTGCACAGTTGAGTAGAATGGCTCAGAATCTTATGAAATCCTGCGAGTAGTTTCATAGAGAATCTTGAAATCTCATATTATAATACAGATCCAATAAAATCTAACGTCTGTTCGTTTGTGAGACTAGAACTTTAGCAGTAGCCGTAGTTCTATGGGCAACAATTGTTCTGGGATTCTATGCGATTTTACAGAATTCTATTTGGTTTCATGGAACTCTGAAAGACTTTAAGTTTAGAGATTCCATAAATTCTCGTAGATTCCCAAATCCCAAATTCCTTGTTTCACTCTTGATGTACATGCATCATAGTAGAGTCACATAATGATGCTTTGATACTAGTAATATAAGCGAAAGAGAAAAGACTCTTATGACCTAGGAAAGATAGAAAATCAAAATAATAAAGCGATTACAATTAATTTTTAGGACTATTAAGGATGTAGAACCGTCCCTCGTGTAAATCCTTCGTATATTGAAAATTTTAAGTTGATCGCAATTAATCAGCCGATTAATTCGTCACGGTTAATCGTCAACTTTTGAGCGATCCAGCAAAATTCTCACAAATAATGGATGAATGACAGTTTTTTCCATAGATGTTTACGTCTACAAATCTGTAGTAACTCAGTTTCAACTGTTACACAGTCATCTCTGCGCTTTTTTCTGCTAGATAAGATCAAATATACTATAAAAACGCGTAAGAGAAGGAGAAAAAAACTGTACTTTTTTATGACTTTTAGTGTTAGAGCAGATGTCAAAATTTTAAAATCGATATACATGAAAATAAAGAGTTTTTTAGGTAGGAATTTGAGAGAGGTGAAATCAAATGATTGATGATATAATATTGTTATTCATTAGTTAAACAGCCTAATAGAAAACTGATTTTGATCTGTTGCATACAGTGTCACATCACAGTTTCCTTATTCCTAACAACAGACTTATTTGCTTTTTCAAATACAAAAATCTTTCATTCTTCACTTTTGATGATAAAAGTAAAATATGTAAATAGTGAAATGCCCTTATTGATTTCATTATAACTATGCGAATAAATAAAAAACTTATACAAATTTTATCGTCGAAAATAGGCTGACACTTCTTAAACGAAATGACACTAGATCCAAAATATTGAAAAAGAAATCATACAAATTTCACAGAAAATATACTCAACCTATGATTTATAAATATGAAAATAATACAATTTTTGATTGCTTCTGACTTCATCAAGATACTTTTATTTTTATTCAAAGTATTAAAGGTTTATTTATTCATCTTTGGACGAAAAAGTGATCATAATGAGAAAAACGCAATCTGAAAAAATTTGTTTAAAACAAATTAACAGTAAAAGGAATAGTTAGTGGTCCATAAAATGCAATTAATAACTAACAAACAATCCAAAATTGTGCTTATGGTGGCATTCTCAATGCACCATCTAAACGAATAACTTCGCCATTTAAATATGGATTTTCGATAATCGATTGCGCCAACTGAGCAAACTCATCCGGTTTGCCGAGACGAGTAGGAAATGGTACCATATTACCTAAAACATGAAAAAATTCAGATTATAAATTCTAGACATTTTATGCGTTGAAATTATTTCACTTAATACTATAAACTAAAAATAAGAAATACGTATGTCTCACGTTCAATTACCCAATAGTGTTTTTACTTTTTCTGGTAATCCTTTCAACATCGAGGTATTAAATACACCGGGTGCAATAGCACAAACTCTGACACCCATATTCGATAAATCTCGTGCCAATGGTAATGTCATCGATGCAATAGCACCTTTACTTGCTGCATAGGCTACTTGTCCAATTTGTCCGTCGTATGCAGCCACACTTGCCGTATTAATAATCACACCACGTTGACCATTTTCATTTGGTTGATTATCAGCCATCAAATGACATGCCCATCTCAAAACATTAAATGTTCCAACAACATTAACATTCATAACTTTTTGAAATTCATCTAAACCGTGCATTGATCTTTTATTAATATTATATGTTCGAAATGCACACGCAATTCCAGCACAATTAATAACAGCATCTAGTCGACCATGAGTTTGTTTAACACGATCAAATACTTGTTGAACTTCATTTTCATTTGTAACATCAATTGGATAAAACATGGCTTGTTCTGTCAATAACGACTTAGAAGATGATGGTGTCGAGATTGATGATCCTGGTACGCTCGATGTTATTCGTTCACCTCTTAATGCTCTTTGCTGCTCTTCTAAATTTACCTACAATACACAGGAGTATTGTAATTAAACATATCTCTTTTCTAACTTACATTTCCCGTTTGAGTTGTATCAATATTTGTAGAATCGTCACTAAGTCCATCTTCATTATCTAACTTATTTATATTTGATTTGGCTGCTACTGATTGTTGAATATCGGTTAATGACTGAACAACTTCTGTACCTTTTGATGTTGGTAAATCGCAGATAATAACACGTGCACCTTGTCGCAGAAAACGTTGAGCACACGCGAAACCTAATCCAGATGCGCCACCAGTAACCAACGTAACAAGTCCTTTCATTTTATATAAACATTAGTGATCAAATATAGAAAACCACTGTTTGTTACAGTAAAGAGAGAGAGAAGGAAACTTAATGTGTAATATAAACAAATCAAAATCTAAAGAAAAGAGCGTCACAGTTGAAGAGAGAATTTTATCAGTATACGTAGACAAAATAATCGTCTGTCATATAAATATAGACGTACGAGGGAACCTTCCGAGGTGATATCCGCCATTTTTAGTGATATTGGATGGGTTGATAGAGGACAGTGTCCTTAAAAGAGCTTTGTTCTAGTCATAGAGCTTTTTTCAAAAGTTATAAATAATTTTTGTTTCGAAACACGGTAACATTAAAAAAATTTTATCTTAGTAAAAACAGCGAATTAAGGGCTGAAATTTTTTTCATAACGCTGCTGCTGATCTGTCAATATCTCAAAAAGTTTCAGGCTTTTACACAAGACAAGTTAATTACACACTGTTTTTTCCAGAACGACTAGTAATAGAAAAGAAAAATAGTTCTATGTGTGACTATTTTTGTTTACGAGAAACACAAGTTAGAGCAAAACAGAATTGCTTCAGAAAACAGGTTTTCCTTAATCAAGGAAAAATTGTAATAATTTAGTATGTAGACAAGTTAAAAGTCTGAAAGTTTTTGTGATATTGACAGATCAGAAGTGGCGTTATGAAAAAAATTTGAGCTCTTAATTCGCTGTTTTTACCGAGATACAAAAATTTTAATGTTATTCTGTTTCCAAACAAAAATTAATTATAACTTTTAAAAGAAGTTCTATACATCCGATACATTATTCTAGTATTCAAATAAACAAAATAAAAAAAGATTTGTAAAACTAAAAACATAATCTATATAAATTTCCTTTTAAGTCTTTTTGATTGTCTTCTTAGTTGACTCTAATATCGTCTCCACAGAAAAACATTAAAGATTCTTCGTTACCAGTTAATAAGCAAGAGTGAGACATGTATTTGAGAAAAACAAAGTTGAAAATTCAAACTTAAGTTAAATTACAAATCCCTAAATTACATTATATTTGTAAGTGAAAGAATACAATCGACCGATACAAGTTGTCTTCTTTTCCTCTGATGATGATTCCATCCATCCATTCATGTCGTCGATCATGTACCCATCACTCTGATATTTTTAATTAAAATTTACCGAAAAGCTGTGTTCATGTTGTGTAAAAGAAGGAAAAGCACCACAATAACATCAAGTGTAATGCACACTTATCATTTATCTCATCGTCGTTCTCAATACCAATCATCTGACATTTCTTTTCTGTTCAAATTAGACTTTTTTATATTCAATTTGAATACTTACGTTGGCTCATTTTCATCACTTATATCTGTTGAAGCATCAAGATCGAAATTAAAACCATTTGAAAAACAGCAATATTATATAACTATCATACTGTTCTATTGATTGTATGGAACAGAATATAATTGTTCTGTAATGTTTCTAATAGTGAATATCCTGTAGATGTAAAAGAAAAGCAAAGATGAATAAAACTAAAGAGTAATAAATAGTTTCTAACCCCAATCATCTGCTTCTTGGCATTTGAGTTTTTCCTGACAAATTTATTCAACATTCAGAACCAATTTATGTAGAACGTCTGAGACAAGTGAAAATTACAGAATGTACATATCTAGCATTATACCTGAGATAAATCATAAACCATTCATTTACTACGATGCTGTTTTGAAAATTATCAAATTTTATACTGTTCACTAAGTTTGAGCACAAGAAAAATCTTATGTTAACAACCTAAACTCCATCTTAGTTCCGGTTAATGCTTCTTCATTTTGTTGTTTTTACCGAGTTGTTTCATTTGACATTCAAACAAGATAATTTTTTTTCATTGAATCAACAACCAACTCAGCCTTCAGTTCTTCTATTATCAACATTTATTCTTTAAATAGTCAAGAATTTTCTTTTTTACAGTGGGTCGGTCTGAATAAAACTGAAAATTAAAAACAAAGACTTTAACATATCGCAAAGATGAAAAAGGAACAAACAAAACTTACTATTCGCTATTTGAAAAGGCAACGACGTAATTTTGGTTTTTATCTCATAGCTAGCACAACAGATGGGGATGATAACGTATTATGATCTACAACAAAAATGCATTGAAAACACTCTCTTAGTGATCAATAGGATCAATAAGTGGTGAATGAAATGCATATAGTATTGTACAGTACGAACTATATCGATGTAGAAACTCTGTAGATCATACGGATGGCATACTTCTCAAAACTCTTCTTTCCATAAGAATATCAGAGACTTATTACATGCGTTGTTCAATTCTTTGTGTAATATCCAAATGGAGAAAGCATGACTTTAGCTGAAAAATGTCATCTGATTCTTATCTATAGTGCCACTTACTCTGAACTGCCTACGTTGCTCTGAACAGTGAAGGCAAGAGTTAATCTACACATTCTCTTGTTGAATTTAGTAGCAGATCCAGTAATAGGGATGTATTAAGCAACCGCATTCTCATTGAAAAATTTCCAGTTCAACCCTTGTTGAATTTAATAACCAAGGTTTCATTTACAATATAACATCGATCTTATATTACGTGTAAAATAGAGGTAGTTTTTTTTCACATTTTTATTTCGTGATAATTATGTTGTCTTTTTTCTTCTTTTATTGTTTCAAATAATAAAAAACTAAAAAAAAACAACAATAGATAAACACGCTTCAAACATTCTTGATGTTACAGAAAAACGAGACTATTGGAAAATAACCGAGAGAACAGAAAGCACGAGAACGATTATTTTTCTTCTTCATCTTTATTTTATTTAACGTTGTGTGCCTTTTTTTGGACCACCTTTTGGTATATTTTTTTGAATTTTTTCAACTTTCTTCACTGGTCTGCCGGCCTAGAACAAAGGTTAGAAATTGAACAATAAAAAAAAGAAAAGAAAAAACTCGAACATCTTCATCGTACGGTTACAGAGATTTACTTCTTCCACATATGAACAACTCCTTCTGCGAGTCATCCCATACTCCATACTGTAGTATTAGCATTATTCTCAACAGCTTATGACGAGCAAAAGTATGCTCTGAGAAACCTTGTTTCTTTAAGAAAGCTGTTTTTGATATACTCTCAGTAACATTCCTGCTGCCTAGTAGAACTTTTTAGCCTTTGAATGAAAAATTTTCAGAACGAACAAGTATGCTTAGAAAAATATGTAATGAAAAAACAATATTATTTACTTTCACCGATGGTGTTGTTGTTTTTTTCTGTTGTGCTTTCGCTTTTTTGGCTTGTTTGGCAGCACTAAAACAAGAAAATATAATTAAATTATGGAAAAAAAACAACAGTTTCAATATGTACTTGATGGCGTCTTGACGCTGTGCTTTTCTAAATTCTGGTTGTTGATTACGTTTAGCTAATATTTCATTCCAAGTAACACCAGTGATAGCACGTTGAAATTTTGTTGTACGACGCGTTCGTTTTTTAATTTCTTGTTCAGCTTGACCTTTTTTATGTTTTCGACGGTAATAAACTGTCCATGTTATACGACGTGGATTACGTTTCATATCAGCTGAACGTTGACATTTTGAATTCAAATAGATGTGGACCTAAGCAAAGGCGAAGTTCTAGAGAAAAAAATAGATGCCGACAGGGCCTTACGCCAAGAGAAAAGAAGTGAGATAAAGAAGATTGAAACAGACAAGTCTCATTGTCACCAATCTTCAGCAACAAGAATATTCTCCCACTTTCTTCTTTCTATTCATTATTAACAAGCATTTCTATTATTTAGTACATAAAGATAAACGTACTTTTCCATCGGCTTTAACGACACGTTTACCATGACCAGGATAAATTTTGTATCCACTATAGTTGCAAATTTCCAGCCTTAAATAAAATAGAAAATGCAAGGATAAGTAAAATCAAATCTTATCTCTGAAAATAATAGTGTATTCAAATAATGAAAGAAATCACTCTAAACGAAAAGTGACCATCGGGTATTTGAATGTCATTTTTAATTTTTGCACGTGAAAAGTAAACGATAACTGTTTTGGTAACGAACAGTACGTCGTTGCAATGTGCACCAAAAAAGAAAAAACCTTTCATTCTTCTTACTTCATTATGATGTAATAAGTGACAAGATGATTTAGATATCTAGAAGAAAAACGATAATAAAGATTGATAGCAAAAATCTTGAACTAAAATAACTCCATACGAGTAAATGGTCACTCAGTTAGGAGATTTTCCGGGCTATGCACTGCAAAATATGTTGAATAATTGAAGTATGCAACTTTGAAGAGTTTGAACGTCGTCTGCTGAACTAAGGCAAACAGAGTACATCCCTTATCGACTAGAGATACGAACGCTAAGTCCCGAGTTTCTGATCGAGAAAGAAAGAATATTATTAGAGAATAATAAGAAGCATGTATGAAACTCAACTCAAATGACTGGTTTCACAATTATGAAGAGAGACAGGTTATCTTGAACGAAACAACTAACGAGATTAAGTGTTTTGACGATTTCCGTTATGTTTTTAACAGAAAATTGTACGTAGACAGTATATCTCCATATTGTAGCGTGTTTTATAAAGGTTTTCTAGGATGTACAAAGCGTGGCTCAATTTTCAAAGTGCATACGCACGCACTTTGTCATTACACACGTCATAATTCCTATTGCGTACAGTTTTTAGCACAGTACGTCCTGCTTTTTCATCATCAAAACTCAAATTTGCGAAAAGGCCAGTACTACGAGAACAGTTACAAAGGGTAAAAACACTAAACAGATGCAAACATAATGCTCTCTCAATCGGTCAGACTATGCTGATCATGAAACTTAGACATGGTACAATTGATGTAAACTTACGCTGACACTAGAGTTTATGCCTAACGTAACTTGAGCGTTTTTTTTATCTAATATCTAATAATCTAATTTTGTTGGTGCGTTTTATTTTATTCATAAAAATTGATGATGTTTTCCACTGCATCGCAACAGCAAATACGGTCACAGCAGTAAAAGTTGGATTCGTTGAACCTCAACATCTGTGAAAGTTTATTTGTTAAAGTATTTTTCTCATCAGAAGAAAACTTGCTTCATTGAGTCCACAGTCATACAACAGTGACTCTTAAGTGCTTTTTAATTCATGTAATCTGCATAGGTGGTGATCCTCCTACTAATGGACTTTCCAATACTTAGCGCTATCTGTTGCAATACACATATTAGTTGTATGATTGGTTGGTTCATGTTTTATTGCAAAAAACCTATTGTTCTAATTATTTAATTTTTCTCGAAAAAGGAACGCTTTCAGAATTATTAATAATAATTCAATATACTCTACTATTATGGTGTTGAGAAAACTATCACCGCTGTTAAAGTCTTTCAAACACTATAGAGAATAAAAACGTGAAGTAAGTTTTATACTATTATCATAGCATTAAATATAAAAAAAAGAATGTTTACAATACAACATTTGATCGACAATAAGCTCATGTCTGTTTTGCTATTGGGGTTGTGCTCTAAATCGGTAAAGTTGCTTATTCTGTTTAATATTGTCGTTCATTTTCTAAATATATATGTTGCATGTTTGACAACATTGATGAGATAGATATCTATGGTGACAGTGAACTAAGTGATACCAAACTGGTTTTATGATTTGCGGTGGGTGTAGAAGTTGTGGTACACACATAGGGTGTTTTAAAGTCGTTATGAAGCGACATAGAAATACTTTTAATAGATACCACGATATTAAAACGAACCAAATAAGTATTACCCTCATTATTCTCAATAAATAATAAAATATGTACAAAATGCTAAACCAGATATATCTTATAAGATATCGTAATAATCTCCATAAAGCTTCAACATTCAACCATACAGATGTATGTGATTTCCAGTCCCGCTTTCTTACTTTCCCAGTTTTTGTTGATGATATCGGTACTAACGATTGTGTTTTCGACTGAAAACAACTATTGGGTACATCTATTTTACCCCAAGGTATGCGGATTTCTGACGCTTTTCGGCTACTTTTTATTTGTCGTTGTGCTGTTTTTTGTCGTATATGATCGTTGAACTTTTGATCTGTTGACTGTTGTTTTACTGCTTGAGTATCATTACAACTCAGATCAAATTTGATTCTTATTTTACCATTACTACGTCGAGAATGAAAATTTTTAATACCCAATAAATCCCAATTCCAATAACATTTCTTGCCATTAGACATTTTTCGAAAAAATTAAGGAGGCAAGCAACATAAACAATAAAAAAAGAAAATAAAGAGAATAAATAAATAAATAAATAATTGATAAAAGGTATTAACGATTTTTACCATAGGAACCACTAATTTAAATGTAAATAATTAGTTTGACTTTATTTAGTCTGAATGAGAAAAAAATACTAAGTTTATCACGTTGATCTTTCTCCAAAATCATTCATTACAGTTTTGCGAGATATAATGCAGATGGAATATTGGTTGAATTGGCTTTCTTGTTATGTAGAACTAGACAGTAATAAACGTGATGCTATCCATGATGGTAGCAAAGTAGGTGGCTTTGAAATACCTGACATATAATGGATTTAGTCGTTAAATCTATAAGCAAGAACTATCATTCCAGAAAGATAGAAGAACACTCTTGCAGCAATTTATCCCAATTTATTTTAGATTTAACTTTCTTGAGAATGGGTAACGAACAGACAACTGGTGGAGAGAAAAGTCACCAACAACAAAAAAGTATGTATTTAAAAGTGACGTAAATAAAACTGATCATCGTTTGTTTTTTCTTCTCTCGTTTCAGCCACTTATCATCCCAATATTACAATCGTCAATCCGCAACCTGCATCATCTGATACTTTAACTCAAGATGACAATGAATTAAATAAATTAGTAGCTATACCAAAATTTTATCCAATTTTACGTTCGACAATTCATATGCAAAATGATGAACAAGTACCACATTTGGACTATTTACCCGTGAGTTTTTCAGCTTTGACAATTTGTTTGCACTATTAATCATCAGCGTTATCTTTGGACTTATCAGTATGAAGTTTTGATTGTTTAATGATATCTTCTGTTCGAGGAAGAGATAAAACTTTTAAATTCACGTTTAGGAGCAGATATCGTACTTAAACTGACAGACAGGCAGATTTCTTCAGATTATTACGCCTATTGAATATTTTAAGGGTCAAACGTTTTGTCTCTTACTTAAACTGTTTATATCCTTCGTTTAGACACTTCAGTTATCAATGCGTATTCAACAACATTTAAAATCGTGTTCCGAAGCTGTTTCGTATGATCAACAAACATTGATAACTCGCATGAAAGAAGTTGATGTACGTTCGAATGCCGTTACTTCTCGTCTGTTAGAAAAACAAAAACGTTATACTTACTATTGTGATCAATCAAAAAAATTACGAGATTTAGTGACAACAGTAAAAAGATTAGACCAGACATTAACAGAACTAGGTGACAAAATGAGATTAATTAATAATGCTTTACCCCTCGAAGATAAATTACCTATGTTGACATTTCGAGCTCAAGTAAAAGCTGAATGAACGATTTTCATAGTTTTCTTTTTGTAATTATTTTTATACAACGTGAATTTTTTATGTGCAATAAAATGTTCTATAAGTCGACACATGTAAAAGGTTAGGTTAGGTTAGCTTTAGCTGAAGAAACATCAGTCTAGACTGATGTTTCTTCATTATATTTTATTTCAAAACAAGATTCATCAGCAATATGAAAAAAACGAGATAGAATTTAATTAATTTATTTTTAAATTATTCATCAATATAGATCCTAACATTTCTCGATTCTGCACGTCTCGGATTTGAATAGAAGTTTGTCACAATATAATCAATATCCTCGTCCGTTACATCTAATTTAATCTTTGTACATTTTACCGCTGTTTCTAATGCGTCTGTTCGTAGTCGATTTCTTAGTTTAGTTTTTATATGTGTAACAACACTAAAACTTCTTTCACATTCATTTGTCTCTAATGGATATGTCGATAGAATTTGGTAAAAAGTAGACCACTGAGATGTAATAAAAAGACCAGTTTTAGCAAGCAAGAAGACTTGAGCAAGCAGAGACGCAGTCACAGATAGAAAAAACAAAGACAGGTGCTTAGACGTTCAGAATATTTTTTTCTTCGATTTTTTAACAATACATAGTCATACGTAGTAGAAAAGAAGGAAGAAAAGGAAAAATAATGTCCAAAAAGATTTTGTTCAATATAGTCATAATGCCTGATGATGATTTTCAGTGTGAGATTGAAGGCTAATATTTTAATTTTGTTTAATATTCTTATTCCGTTAAGATAAAATTTAAGTAGAATACGGATGTTTTTCGCAGCAGTTCCATTTATTCACTATGAATTTCTATTATTCTCAATAATGGTTACTTAACATGAAACACGTTAATAATTATAAATGTATCGCAAACAAATTATTTAAAGTACCTAAAAATCACTTACTCGGATGCATAAAAGGCAGTTTCTCAACTTAAATTTCTTGAAAAATTCCTTGAGTAAGTCAATATTTTTTGAGTAATTTTATCCAAACGAGAGAGTGGATTTCCACCCCCTAATCGATAACGCTGTTAAAAAGCAGCTGTGATCAATATGTAACTAAGTGGATTACAAAAATGCGTTTACGAATTAAAAAATTTTGATGCATTTTTGAATCTCGAACCAGTACGCGTTAGTGAACTTTTGTATGTAATTTGCTAAAAATAGCTCCTTGTTACAGTATTCCAGAAAAATCGTCTTATAACGTCGGTTAATGTGATTAGAAAGAAAAAACTAGTCATTGCAAAGAGAAAATTATCAAAAACACGTTTTTTCATATGTTGGCCTTATTGTTTTCGATCGTTGGTTTTCTAACAAAAATCAAGAGACCTATGCGGCAAATTCAAGGAAATTAGTAAGTTGTTCGATGATGTCGTTTTAATTAATATTTTCTAGTTTAGCTCTCCTTGATTCTATCGAGACTCTTAGTTACGATTAGTGCTGATCGTAATGTTAATCGTACTTGAGCTAATCGGGATTAAGCAAGTAGTGTAGTCGTAGTTACGTTTGTCCTGGTTTGTTGAGAAACGATCAAGTCATATGGTATGATGAACAGCACCTAGTACTGATGTATCCGAAGAAAATAGACGTTTAGTAAAACGTTAATCTCTAACAATGGCAGATGTATCTCTAAGAGAATGGTCGTCTCTCATCATGGGAAAAAGGTATGTTAGTGTTATTATTACATGAACAATAGAGTCCATTGCCATCTTTTAGCAAAATCTTGGTACATACTAAACAAAACTGAAAATACATTTTAAAAACGAAAAGGAATGTGGCTTCATTTCAGTTTGATTTTTGATGCATCAAGATACCACCAAAAAATGCCAGTGGGAAAATAATTGTTGAAAGATGATGGTAGAGTAGAGACCTGCACGGGTTAAGAACACCTAACCCGCACCCGACCTGATGAAAACAATCTCACCAGAAAACTATGTTTGAGAAAGAATATAAACTTGCCTTGTTAGACAAAAGTTTTTCGGTGCATATTGTAGAATCTCGTAGTTCAAAAAAAATTTTTGAACGACATCTGATTGGTCATTTTGTCTAAAAGGTTAATCTATTGAAAATTCCTCAGTACACTTTGCCAATAGATTATCTTAATCGAGATGATGACCACATTCTTTTTCTCATTGGTCAGTCAGTATCACCTAATACTCAGATAGCAACTGGAGAGCATTATAGTAAAGTCTTCTATGTACGGGTGTTTAAAACAGTACATTGAAAAAAAGCAGTAAGGGATGTATTGCCATTGATTTCAGTGCAAGAAGCACTCTCTTATGTGCAAAGAAAGCAATCATTAATCGACTTAGTGAATGCAGTTGTTCTGAAACAAGTCTTTCAACTGGAAATTCCAGTAG